CGGAAAAGTGGCTGATTTTCCGGAATAAGTGGCCAGTGTCGACACAGCCTCACTGTCCAGAATGAGAACTTGGCACAGATACCGCGAGCACTGAAGAGGGAAACATCTTCCAGCTGGCTAGCATAAGGCCATCCCCAAAACAACATAAAATGATGTGGTTTGGCTGAAGGGATGAGTCGGAATGTTTCTTCCGAAATATCGGGAAGGTAACAAGGGGAGGTAACAACCATGCCATGAAACACGTAAGGAGGTACGTAAGTTGTTTATCCCAGATGGTTTGTCTCTATTTACCAATGTTAAGATACTTCGCCCTAATATTCACCTGGCTGAAGGGAGACTGGAAGACCCTGCCCGGCTGCTCACAGAGTTAGTCCATGGTAAAAGACACGCATGTTTCAGCGTATGTGTAAAACTGACCTCTGTCACTCACAGCATGCTTCATTTCTGCTCGACTTGGTGCTGATGAGGCCTCAGTTGGAGGATTGTGTTCCGGGCACCACATTTCAGGAGAGAAGTGGAGAAACTGGAGAAGGTCCAGAGAAGAGCAACAAGAATGGTTTAAGGTTTAAAAATCATAGAAGTAATATTAAACATATTTTAAATGCTCTCTATATATTGAAATACCATTCAAAATCAATTATCTAACATTAGGGAAGGGAGGGAATGTTGAATAGACTTAGGGTATGTCTACACTGCCACCCTAGTTCGAACTAGGGTGGCTAATGTAGTCATTCGAACTTGCAAATGAAGACCGGGATTAAAATATCCCGGGCTTTATTTGCATGTTCCTGGGCGCCACCATTTTTAAATGCCCCATAGTTCGAACTCCCTGACCGCGGCTACACGCGGCACGGTCTAGGTAGTTCGAATTAAAGCTCCTAATTCGAACTACCTAGCCTGTGCCGTGTGTAGCTGCGGGCAGGGAGTTCGAATTACAGGGCATTTAAAAATGGCGGCGCCTGGGAACATGCAAATAAAGACCGGGCTATTTAAATCCCGGGCTTCATTTGCAAGTTCGATGACTACATTAGCCACCTTAGTTTGAATGAAGTTGGCTAGTGTAGACATACCCAAAGAGGCTTTTATGAGGGAGAAAAATTGTTCTCCTTGGCCTCTGAGCATAGTACAAGAAGCAATGGGCTTAAATTGCAGCAAGGGAGGTTTAGGTTGGACGTTAGGAAAAACTTCCTAACGGTCAGGGTGGTCAAACACTGGAATAAATTGCCCAGGGAGGTTGTGGAATCTCCATCTCTGGAGATATTCAATAGCAGGTTGGACAGACACCTTTCAAGGATGGTCTAGGCAGTACTTGGTCCTGCCATGAGGGCAGGGGACTAGACTTGATGACTTCTCGAGGTCTCTTCCTGTTCTAGTGTTCTATCATTAACAGCAAACCTGGCCAAGCACACTCACCCCTAGTGATTTTCTTGAAAATCTCAGCTGAGGCCTGCTATATGGGCCACTCCAGCATGGCCCCCAGCCAGAAAACACACCCAGCCAATAACGGAGGACCACAAATAGAAAGGATTTGAACAGGGAGCCCCAACCTCTCTGGGCAGTGTCCTCAACACTGAGATGTTTCAACACGGGTCCCGCTCAATCTCTCCTCTAAAAACTGCTCCATTACTGAGAAATCCTTGCATATATATTGGGCCATAGAGCACGTGAGAATGACTTCAAGTCGCGTGGCTGGGGCATTCCCTTGGACCCAGGACCCCAGTGCTCTGCTTTGATGACTCTAATGTTCATGTAGCATAGCACGAACTCCATTTACCAGGAGAGGCTGAAGGAAGCCCAGAGCAGAATATCCATCAGTTCAGTCGAGACCCTCAACTGAGAAGTAGGAAACCCCTCTACAAATTCCTTCTCCTCCTCAGACAGAAGGAGAACTGAAGTGGGAGATCTTCCACCTCCCAGGAAAATACCTTAGCCCTCAAGCTAAAAATTACATGGCAGCTGCAGCTGCACCGAACTCGTCCTCTGGGGTTCCCAACCCGAGGAGGATACTTTTCTTTAGCCTGAACCTAGAAACTGGACTCCAATTGAGGGGCAGAGTTAAGGGTACAAACACCTCAATGTGGCCACTCCCATTAGCTGGATGAGGCAGCTTTCCATACTTCATAGAGAAAGACGCTGTGATTAATTATAATACGTATCCTGGGATTGGAGAATGACAAAAATGAATTCAAGTTGCAGTGGGGAAGGTCTAGGTTGGATATTAGGAAAAGCGATTCCTATAGGAGGGTGGTGAAGCCCTGGGAGGGAGTAGAATCTCCATCCCTAGAGGTTTTTAAGGCCTCTCTTGAAAAAGCCCTGGCTGGGATGGTTTAGTGGAGGTTGGCCCTACTTTGGGCAGGTAGTTGGAGTCGATAACTCATGAGGTCTCTTCCAACCCCTGTAATTCTATGATTCTATGTATTGACTATAGCATGAGACATAGGGTGCCCTAGGTCCCCCAGCTGAAGCCATGTCCACGGTGGCCCGGTGCGAGGTGACCAGAATGGGACTTCCCGCAGATTGAAGGAGAATAAGCATTTCCAAGTGTCTGTTGCTCACTTATATGCATTGTTCGGCCTGTGCTTATTGATGTGTCACATTGCAGCAGCTGTGCAAGGATTAAATTTGTGCTCCTCTAAGCCAGCCTTGAGGACTGCTGGTGAAAACACTGGGTGTTCTTTATCAGATGGCCTTCAACAGCCAAAACTCCCCTTGCTAGCTAGCCGAGAACTTCGTATGGTATAAATATTATGACCTCAGCTCTCAGCCCCATGGGAACATTGAGAGTGGCATTGGGCCAACTCGCAGACACTCGGTAAGCAGCTAAAGTATAAAATCACTGGGATTCCCACCCCTCTGGGAGTCTCACCAGGGACTTAGACCTTGAAGGGTGCCTTAGGTTCCCCAGCTGAAGCCATGTCCACCGTGGCCTGGTGCAAGGTGACCAGAATGGGACTTCCTGCAGTCTGAAGGGAGTAAGCATTTCCAAGTGTCTGTTGCTCACTTATATGCATTGCTCGGCCTGTGCTTATTGATGTGTCACTTTGCAGGAGCTGTGTAATCATTTAGCTGTATTATGCCTGGTAATAGTAGTGACATAGTGAGATTAATAAAAGTAACTATCCCTAATCGATTCTGTCTTGAAGTGCATCCACAACCCTGTTGGGCCCTGCTCTTCTGGCTTAACATTGACCATCAATGCAATCCTCCTCTTAGACCTCAGATGTCCCATGTGCAATCTCATGATTAGGGCCCTACCAAATGCACAGACCATGAAATCTTGTCTCCCCCTCATGATGTCTGGTCTTTTGCCTGCTTTTACTCTATGGGTATGTCTAAACTATGATTTTTTTCTAAAGAGGATATGCAAATTCCATCAGCATTTGCCTATCTTCTTCCAATCTCACTTTCGAAAGAGGATCTTTTGAAAAGTGAAAGTAGTTTTTCAGGAAAAAAAACTTTTTTGAAAAAACCCCCACCTAAACTTCCTTTTTTAAGGAAGAGTGGGGGGTTTTTTCAAAAAAGGGTTGTTGTTTTTTCAAAAAAAAAAAAAAAAAGAACGTGTCCACACTACTTTCACTTTCAAAAGATCCTCATTCAAATTCCTGTGGAATTTGCACATCCTCTTTCAAAAATTGTATGTAGTCTAGACATAGCATATGTGATTCCGATTTCATAGTGGAGAATGTTTCTCAAAAGGGGGGTTCTGGCTCAAAGGAGGGTTGCATCGGGCAGGGGGAGGGGTCCTGGCATTGCCACCCTTACTTCTGCACTGTCTTCAGAGCTGGGGGGCTGCTGGCAAGGGGCACCGCTCTGAAGATGGTGTCCCACCAGAAGCAGAGAGCTCAGGGTGGCCGTATTACACTCTTCCATCCTTTCTTCTCTACCGCTGTCTTCAGAGCTCAGGATTGGGATCCCTACAGCCTCAACACTGAAATTCCAGATTTAAACCATTGAGATAATGAAAATTACAATTTTCAAAACACTATGACCATGAAATTGATTAAAACGTGCCAGAAAAGATATGCTGGTCTAGACTCGGGAACTTGGCTTAAGGTACACAACTTCAGTTACATAAAATATGGCACCATCTTCACACGGGAGGCCGACAGGAACAAATGCTTTGTTCCCACTGGCCTCCCTTACTCCTCTTGACTTGCGAGAAGTATCATCACTGAAGCCATCTTCAAAGTTCAATTAAGTGGGTCTTAACTAGACCCACTCAATCAAACACCAGAAGATCTATCTCTGGTGTGGCAAGCGGAGACCTGGCTTGAGATGTTGATCACGTAGAACTGATTGACAAATAAGGGGCAAGAGATACTCATGTTCTTTCTGAAGCTTCAGAGGGGTAGTCGAGTTAGTCTGTAACAGAAAAACCTTAAAAACCAACAAATAATCTGGTAGCACTGTAACAACTAACAAAACATGTAGATGGTATCATGAGCTTTCGTGGACACAGCCCACTTCTTCAGATGACTGGAGATACCTGAAATCTTTCTCAGATACCTGAAATTCCTTTCAAAGCATTTTTTTTTAAATAATGAAAAGTGAACTCCACCTACCGAGTTACCAAAAACATTTTCTATGTCCTCTACCAATCAGGCATTTCAACAATTGAGCAGAGAATATGGGAACAGATTCGTAATTAAAGTATGCGAGATCTGTTCTAAAATGTACCTATATTCGAATTTGAACTGTTGAAACAACGGGAGGAGGGATCTATATAATTTCATTTTTTATTTATTTTTCCCCCATTTTATTTTCTATTAAATTCCAATTATTTTAGGCCAACCAGTGGTTGAAAAAAACTCTTTTATTTTATCGAAATTCAAAATTTTAATGAAAATATTTAATTGAAATAAACATTTCAGAAAAAGCAGACCAGCACTAAGTTTGATGAGATAAATTATTATATAGTCCATCTTGGTCTCCTTGCAAATATAGAGTCTCTTGAAAGCTGAGATATTCCCCAGGGAACAATCCCGTTGGGGAGGAAAGGTCTATTTTTGCGGGTGAAATACCTTCATCCCTGTTTTCCTCAAGGCATCTTTCACCTCCTTGTTCCTGAGGCTATAGATTATGGGGTTCACAATTGGGGTGAACACTGAGTAGAACAAAGAGAGCAACTTGTTCACCTCTGCAGAGAAGCTGGACTTGGGGCGGACGTACATGACGAGGGCCGTCCCGTAGAACAAGGTCACTACGATGAGGTGGGAGGAGCAGGTGGAGAAGGCTCGGCGCCGGCCTTCGGCGGACTGCATTTTCAGGATGGTGGAGATGATACAGATGTAGGATACCATGATCAACAAGAAGGGTATCAGGAGGACGAAGGCAGCTGCTACAATGATTTGGATCTCATTCCAATAGGTGTCCCTACACACCAACTTCAGCAGTGGCTGGATCTCACAGAAGAAGTGGTCAATCACGTGGGAGCCACAAAAGGGAAGCTGAAAGATAAAGGCCGTGTGTCCCAGGGCCACCAGGATGCCACTGATCCACGAGCTTGCAGCCAGTTTGTTGCAAACCTTCTTATCCATGACGGCCGTGTAGCGTAACGGGTTGCAGATGGCGCTGTACCGGTCATAGGCCATCGACCCAAGGAGGAAGCACTCGGTGACAGCAAAGAAGAGAAAGAAATACAGCTGCACAGCACAACTGAAAAAGGAGATGGATTTATCTTCGGCGAGGAAGTTGGCCAGCATCTTCGGCACGGTGACAGAGGTATAGCAGATCTCAAGGAAGGACAAGTTCCTAAGGAAGAAATACATGGGGGTGTGAAGGGCTGGGTCGACATTTATGACGACGATGATGAGGAGGTTGCCCAGCACGGTGATGATGTAAAGGCACAGAAACACCATGAACAGCATGAGATTCAGGTCGGGGTGGTTAGAGAAACCCAATAGGACAAATTTGCCCATGGAAGTGTCATTTGTCATCTCTTCTTCAGCATATTTCATCTTAAGAATTAAAAAGAAAGTTACACATGAGTTTGATATGTTATTCATGTAAATTAATAGTGACATCTTTCAGTCAGCCCATGCAATCTATCTATCTAGCTAACCCATACATCTTCTCTCTCTCTCTCCCCGTCCACCCATCTATCTATCCATCTGTCTATCTTTTACCCAAGACAGACTAATCTTTCTTTTATAAATACAGTAAAACTCTGTTGGTCCGGCATCTGATGGTCTGGCACTCCTGATGGTCCAGCACCATCAGGAACCCGGAAGTGCTCCACAGCTGGACCATTGGAGCTGCTCTGCCCCCAGCTTCCCCTATTCAGCTGCTGCTAAAACTGACCAGCGGCTGAATCGAGGAAGCCCGAGGCAGAGCAGCTGGGGCGCTGCCGGGTAGATCCCCATGCACTGCCCCTGGGGGGCTGCGGGACCAACCCGGCAGCACCCCAGCTGTCCCCGATTCAGCCACTGCTGAAACTGATCAGTGGCTGACTACAGAAAGCCCAAGGTAGAGCTGCTTTGCCCCAGACTACCTGGAATCAGCCCCTTATCAGTTTCAGCAGCAGCTGACCTGGGTGGCAGCCCCCTGCTGGCCCCTTGCTCCCTACGGCATTTCAAAGCGGTGTTGCTGCATGGAGCCTGGGGTTAGCAGGGGAGTCCCCAGCTGACCCTGGGCTCTGTGTGGTATTGCTGCCTTGAAACGCAGCATGCAGCCCAGGTCAGCTGGGAACTCCCAGCTGGCCCCGGGCCACATACAGCATTTCAGAGCTGCAGTGCTGCCTGGTGCTGAAACTGACCAGCAGTGGCTGAATCAGGGATGCCTGGGGCAGAGCCGGACTATCGTAAGGGGAGGGCTATGAGGGGTCTGGGGTGTCATCCCCCCACCCCACCTCAGACCCCTCATAGCCTCCCCTTCCGATAGTCCGGCATATCTGATAATCCGGCACCCCCTGGGTCCCAAAGGTGCCAGATTATCGGAAGTTTACTGTACCTGTTTATTAGACAAGGGGACTGTACTGTATCTATTATATTTGGCATTGAGTAGGTCAGTTGATGCAGTAGCACATGGGAAAACATTAGTTAAGTTTGAGAACTGTGTTTTGTAGAAAAATTGCAATAAGTAATTGTAACATAACTCATAATCAGGGCTCGACAAATAATGCAATCTACTCGCCCGTGGCAAGTAGATTGCAACCCAGAAGAGCTGGATTCGGGTGATCTGTGCATGCGCAGATCGCCGGACAGCGCAGCTGGCGAGCAGGGCTCGCCACGGTTTGGCGAGCCCTGCTCATAATATAAACAATTATTTGAGGGGGCTGGAGCATAAGACCCACAAGGAGAGACTGAGGGTATGTCTACACTACAAAGTTAATTCGAACTCAGAGCCGTTAGTTCGAATTAACTTTCATAGGCGCTACACAGGCAAACCGCTAGTTCGAACTTAATTCGAACTAGCGGAGCACTTAATTGGAACAAGGTAAACCTCATTCTACGAGGACTAATGCCTAGTTTGAATTAACTAGTTCGAATTAAGGGCTGTGAAGCTGTCCTCCATAGAATCCTTGAACTGGAAGGGACCTCGAGAGGCTATCGAGTCCAGTCCCCTGCCCTCATGGCAGGACCCAGCTCCGTCTAGACCATCCCTGACAATGATCTATCCAACCTGCTCTGAAATATCTCCAGGGATGGAGATTCCACAACCTCTCTCAGCAATTTATTCCAGTGTTTAACCTCCCTGACAGGTAGGAAGTTTTTCCTAATGTCCAACCTAATGTTAATGGGCCATTTCACCTTGAAGAGTCCCTTAGAATATGAGCTGACTGGCCTGTTTCAGCTTGCATTTTGCTATGGTACTCTCAGTACCTTTCCCAGACCTTTCACCAATCCACCTTGACCCTCAACAAGGGGAGGTAGGTATGAAAAAATGATCAACATTTTTCTGGGATGTATTAACAGGAGTGTCCTAAGTCAGATCCAGGAGGTAATAGTCACTGCGTGTTCAGTACTGGTGAGGTATCAATTGCAGTAGTGTGCCAATTTCTGGGTACCCGACTTTAAGAAAGACGTGGGCAAACTGGAGAGAGTCTAAAGTACAATCATAAAAAAATTCTAAAAGGCGTAGAACACCTGCCTTCGGTAGAAACGTTTAAAAAAAGGAGGCATGTTTAGTCTTTAGTAAGGTAGACTGAGGAAGGACCGGATAAATGTCTAATAAATGTCTTCGGATTGATAAGGGCTGTTACAAGGGGAATGGTGATCAAGGGTGCATCTATACTGCACCGTAACTCAAAAGAAGATACACAACTTGAGCTATGCAAATTGGGTGGCGCCTTTCGGTGCTATTTCGAAATAGCTTATTTCGTCATTGGGTGCTATCTCCACAGTGACAAATTTCGAAATGACGTGCTACTCCGAAATGGTCCCTGACTCCTCATGGAATGAGGTTGATAGGGATGTAGGAATAACGGGCTTGCTGTGAAGAAGGCAGGAGAGCTATTTCGGGTTACTCCGGCATCCCGAAATAGCATTGCCAGGTAGACGTAGCCTAACTGTCCACGGACGGTAGAACAAAGACGTAATCTGCAAGCCAGGGAGATTTCGGTACATTATTGGGGGAAAACTCTTTGAGGACGTAACATCTCAGGAATCAGCAAGTAGGGGAGGTGGTGGAATCCCCCTCATCAGAGCTTTTTAAGAAGACGTTAGACAAGTTTTCTCAGGGAGCATCTAGGCAACCATAGTCCTACTTCAGGGGGTTGGGTTTGATGACCTCTTGAGATCCCTTCTCATCCTACTATGTACATGAACACTTAGGCTACGTCTACACTGGCCTGAATTTCCGGAAATAGCTCTGGTGAGCAACCGAGCTATCAATCCAGGAGGTCAGGTGTTGGATTTTTTTTCCCCATAGCTCTTAGCCTGAGCACTTGCCTGAGCCACCGAGGACACACTGGCCTTTTTAGGCACCTGTTTTGGGAAAGCTACCAAGAACACATACATGCAAACTAGAAATCACATCTCCTAGCTGAAATGTGGACACATCCTCAGGCTACAGCAAGTCATAGTGCAAAACTACCCTGCTTGAGAATCATGAAATCTTAGGGCTGGAAGAGACCTTAGGAATCATCAAGTCCAGCCCCCTGCCCAAAGCAGGACCAATCCCAACTCGCTCATCCCAGCCAGGGCTTGGTCAAGCCGGGACTTCAACACCTCTAGGGATGGAGATTCCATCCTCTACCTAGGGAACCCATCCCCCCCCGAAATAGTTTTTCCAAATCTCCAACCTAGACCTCCCCCACTGCAACGTGAGACCGTTCCTCCTCGTTCTGCAACCGTCCCCACTGAGAACAGACCCTCTCCATCCTCCTTAGAACCCCTCTTCAGGAAGTTGAAGGCTGCTCTCAAATCCCCCTTCACTCTTCTCCTCTGCAGACTAAAACAAGCCCAAATCCCTCGACCTCGCCTTGCTTTGCAACAACTATTTACTTTAGAAGTTTCAGAGGGGGTAGCCAAGTGAGTCTGTAACACAAAAAACTTAAAAAACAACAAATCGTTGAGTAGCACCTTAAAGACTAACAACATATGTAGATGGATTCATGCGCTTTCGTGGGAAAAACCTACTCCAGTCATCTGAAGGAGTGAGTTTTACCCATGAAAACTCATGATCCCATCTACATGTTTTGTGAGTCTTTAAGGTGCTACTAGACAATTTGGGGGGGTGTCATTTATTTTATGAAGTTGATTGTATTTTTAAAACATTTTGTTAGTCACCTCGACTATTTTCACTGGAGAGGTGGGGTAAAAATAGTTTAAATAAAATAACATGAACTAAATAACTATCCACGTCAAACACGCCTGTCCAACACTAAAATCTCCTTAATGCTGTTTGACCCACCCTGGTTTGAAACAGGACTAGATGACCCCTGAAAGAATTGGGTTTGTTTAGTTTAGAAAAGAGAAGACTGGGGGGACATGAGAGCCGTTTTCAGGTATCTAAAAGGGTGTCATAAGGTGGAGGGAGAAAACTTGTTCATCTTGGCCTCTGAGGATAGGACAAGAAGTAATTGGCTTAAACTGCAGCAAGGGAGGTTTAGGTTGGACATTAGGAAAAAGTTCCTAACTGTCGGTGGTCAAACACTGGAATAAATTGCCCAGGGAGGTTGTGGAATCTCCATCTCTGGAGATATTTAAGAGTAGGTTGGAGAGATGTCTATCAGGGATGGTCTAGATGGTGCTTGGTCCTGCCATGAGGGCAGGGGACTGGACTTGATGACCTCTCGAGGTCCCTTCCAGTCCTAGTATTCTATGATTCTATGATCCCGTACTACAGAATCTTTCATGTGTGGTCCCTGGGACCATCCAGGAACGACAGCCTAGCACTAGGTAGAGATACCCCTCAGGGTGCTGTGAACTGTGCGTTTGTATTGAGAAGCTTTCCCTGCGATAGAAGAGTAAGCTTTCCCCACGTTGAAACAGGGCCCGTTTCAGTGCAAGAGGAGAAAGGGACAATCCGTCTAGATTGATCCGTCAGACCGATCCAAAGGAATTGGGCAGGGCTGTACTCAAATAAAGAAATCTCACCTACCTCGGCAACCCACATCAGTCCGGTCTCTCTGCTTGCGAAAGAATTTGATCGTGGACTGAACTGGAGTATTTAAGACTGTCTTTCGACGCCCTGGGGAACTGGTCTTGGAGGCGTCTCAGCCACACCTTCCGAGAATACATAACATAACTGTTAAGGGACAGAAATCTCCCCCCGCCCGCCCATCCGTCCCTTGAAACATCTGTCGGTTTCAGTAGGAGGAAACTTGGGATTTAACTTGGTTTTGTGTCCATGGCCAAATGCCAGCCCTTCAAACCAATGGTGCCAAATCCACAGATGTAGGAAATCAACTTAGTTCCACAGACGTCAATAAGACATGTCCCTTTTTAGTTGGTAAGAACATAAGAACGGCCAGATGGGGTCAGCCCAAAGGTCCATCCAGCCCAATGTCCTGTCCGCCGATAGCGGCCAAGGCCAGATGCCCCAGAGGGAGTGAACAGAACAGAATTGTCACGTGATCCCTTCTCTGTCATCCATTTCTGGACAAACAGAGGCTGGGGACACCATTCCTACCCATCCTGGCTGATAGCCATGGATGGACCTAACCTCCATGAATTTTTCTAGTTCTTTCTCCAAGCCTGTTCAAGTCCCGCTTTTCACAACCTCCTCTGGCAAGGAGTTCCGCAGGTTGACTGTGCACTGCATGAAGACAAACTTCCTTTTGCTTGTTTCAAACCTATTCATTTCATTTGGTGGGCCTTGTTCAAATTGACATATTGTCACCGGGGCTTATCCACAAGTGGGGAGAATCGTTTCTTTTATTGGAGTGAGTAGGCCAAATGAAAGCCAATGGTGTGGGATTATTTAGGTCACCTGATGATCCGATGGGACAGCTCTAGACCCTAATGCAACATGGCTTTATTCCTGTTTTATGCTGCCGGAAGTCCGTTGACGTCAAGAAACCAATGGTGTCATACTCCTTAATAAGGCCCAATGTTGCTTTTTTTCCCCTTTCACTGATTTCCCTAATGGTTGTCAGACCTCTATAAACCATACCAATCCTTCCACCCTTATCCATTTTCTACTCATGCCTAATGTCTTCACTGCAGCGCCTATGGGGTGTTGCTATGTTGGCATAACTCAACAGGCGTCACACCCTTGTGGTGGTGGAATTTACCGTGCCAGGAGGTGTTTGTTGTTGCCGGAGGAGGACTAGCTCCCCAAATCGTGTGTCTTACATTGTAGGAAGCCCTGTTCTCTCACCTCCAGAGGAGCCCCCAGCTTCCCCTTGTCTTTTCTTGGTTGCAGGGTGACACTTGAACCATTGACGTTAGCTCAGAAGGCAGATATTGTATCTACTGGGCCATTGGAAGAGCCCCCCAAACTGCCTACAATCCAGGACCTCCTTATCCGTCTTATGTCCCAAGGGTACCATGCCCACATTGGTTGGGGGTCAGGCTCAAACCGTCAGCCTCTGGCTTCCTAGGCCTGGGTCTACCTTCGAGCTCTGTCAGGAGACACATCAGACCCATTAATTGTGGTCCTTGGTGCCAGATGGAGGGGGTAACCCCACAGCCCACCATGCCCCATGCCAGGGAGGGAGGGGCAGGATTCACGCACGGAGCTCGGGGATGGGAGCTGGGGGGGTCGGAGGTGAGGGGCTACCCGTGGGGGCAGGCTCAGCATGCACAGGAGTTCCTCAGCCATGGGGGAGGGGCTGCTGGCTGAGGTAAGGCAGACCCCCCTGCCATGCCCCCCCCCCCGGGGAGCACCACAGCATTGTCCCCGTGAGCCCCCCAAACCTGCCACTCTCCTGCCCTGCTGCACGGGCCCGAGCCTCCAGTCACCCCTGCCCTGACTCCTGCACCCTCCACCCCCTCTGTCAGGAGCTCCCCAACCCTACCCTGACTCGTCTACCCCAAACCCTGCCCTGACCACCCCCAACATCCAACCCCCTCCCCTGAGCCCCCATCCCTGTCCTGACTCCTGCATCCTCCACCCTTCCTGCCCAATGCCCCCATCACCCCACAGCCCTCCGCCCTCACTCCTGACCCCTTAGTCCTCCGCCTTTTTCCCTGACTCCTTCACCCCCTAGCCCCAGCTCTGAGCGCCCCCCCTGCCTTGAACTCCTCACCCCTGCTCTGTCTCATGCACCCCTGCACCTCACAGCCCTCCCCCCTCTACCAGCCCCCTATCCAGAGTCCTCCCTCCTCTCCCCCTGCCTCCTGCACCCTCCACCCCCTCTGTCAGGAGCTCCCCAACCCTACCCTGACTCGTCTACCCCAAACCCTGCCCTGACCACCCCCAACATCCAACCCCCTCCCCTGAGCCCCCATCCCTGTCCTGACTCCTGCATCCTCCACCCTTCCTGCCCAATGCCCCCATCACCCCACAGCCCTCCGCCCTCACTCCTGACCCCTTAGTCCTCCGCCTTTTTCCCTGACTCCTTCACCCCCTAGCCCCAGCTCTGAGCGCCCCCCCTGCCTTGAACTCCTCACCCCTGCTCTGTCTCATGCACCCCTGCACCTCACAGCCCTCCCCCCTCTACCAGCCCCCTATCCAGAGTCCTCCCTCCTCTCCCCCTGACTCCTGCACCCCCACCACTGGCTTGAGCCCCACCATTTAAATAAAGCATTTCTGTTTTCCAAGAAAAAAAATCAGCACCCAGGCCACACCTGGTCCATTCATTCAATGAACGCAACTCAGTGAATCGGCTCCGTCCTGAGATCTTTAACTAGTTCATGTTCTTAGATTTGCTATATCCCCATTAATATCATGAAATCAACCCTTGTGAGTGTTGACAGGTGTCCCGTTTTCAACCAAACACCCGGCCAAAAAGGGTCCCTCCCCAGCCCTGACCTGAAAACGAGGGAAGGAGGGAAACGGCATGAACAGGGCGGGGCCTCAGAGAAGGGGCGTGGCAAGAGCGTTCAGTTTTCCTGGGTCGGAATGTTGGCCGCCTCCGAGGTCACGGAAATGCCGGCCTATGTCTGCTCTCATTGAGGGGCCTGTCTACACGAGGAAACGATTTCGAAATAACCCCATTCAACATCATAACTCCCCAAATAATAAAATCAATAGGGCACCTCCACACTATAGGGGGAGCCTTGCAGTGGGTCAGAGGCGGGCTCTGTTATTGTGGGCACGCAAAATCAGACTCAGCACCCCAGGAAGCCTTAGGGAGTCATCAGTTTGAATGACGCTCAGGAGTCGTTATTTCGAAATAGCGGCGGCGCTGGCGCTGGTGAGCACCTAAATCCCTTAGGCCCCATTGAAAATCCCAGCTGAAGCCTGGAGCACGCAGGCACACACCCCATTTGGAAGCACCCCGGTTATCAGCCCAGCCAACAAGTCATCAGCTCCCAGCTTACAGAGCACGCCGACCAACACCCACTAATTACTGGGCTTACTCATTACATGTGCTCCTCTCCTGTGTCAATAGGACCCCTCCCCCTCTATGTTCCTGCCCCCCGTAGGGAGGAGATGATGTGTTTGTCGAGTTGATCACCTGGATATTGCAGAGTATGCTTTGGCAGGGATAGTCAATGGAGCCTAAGGGGTTTAGGCGCTCGACTGCTGTTGACCTTCTGTACGAATTGAGCACCCATCTGTCTTTGCCCTTCCGAAAACCCCACCCTACATATTCTGAGGTGACAAGACATTTGGGGGGCCTTGATGGAGATCCCTTAAAGGGTCCTGGTCCATGACACCCGCCCTCAGGGGATAAGGCACCTTTCCAGCCCCTCAGAAGCACCACTTGCTTCTGAAATGCCAGGCTGGTGGTTGCTCACATTATATCACCCAGGGCTGTCCCTACTGGGTCCAGTGTCCTACGTGACTCAGCACCAGTCCCCCCACAAGGGCAGGGAGGCTGCAGCTGTGGGGGAAAGGGGTTGCCAGGGCTGGGAAGGAGGTGTGGGCCGGAGCAGCAGAAATGTCTCTAGCTGCACACTTTGTGGCGGCCATTTTGTCCTTCAGCCTATGAGGGCCACTCACCTCCGTCTAGTGAGTCGGGGCTGGGTGCTGTGTTTGGGGGGGCATCCCAGGGATGGGGCAGAGGGCAGCTGGACCACCACTCATTCTGGGGCAGGTTGCCCACGGAATGGGGTTGGAGTGGCTGGAGCCCTTAGACAGCACGTTGGCTTCACAAGGCTCCATGACGTTTGTCTCAATTTGGCACCCCAAATTTCACGGGGCCCTATACGGCTGAGGGTGTTGCCTCTTGGCAGGGATGGCCCTGAGGTCATATCTGTCTGGTGCTCCCGACCCATGCTTCTCTTTCCAGAAGTGGTGTATCGCACTGATTTTCCACGGTGGACAAGACATCTTCCAGTCCTACTGTTGACCCATAGGCCTTCCTTCCAGTTTCCTGCACACTAGGACGTCCCATAGGGGTGTTGACCCCATGTATAGATTTACGGGTAAGCCTTTTTTGGACCACCTTCCCCCTCGCAGGCCTTGTTGGATAGCCAGGTGGCTTTTTCCAGGATGCACTTGGAGAGTGATGCGGTACACGGTTGCGGTTGTAAATGGATGGGCCACAGAACCAGTGATGGAGAACATGCAGTGGACAGAAATTCCTAGCAGGAGAGACACTCCCAGATGTCCATGTGCTCCTGCCTTACCGGCATGCAAGGCTGTTTAATTAGAGTTAATTGGGAGGCTGACTTAGCCTGGCCTTGTCCAAGAGGTCTAAGGGAATTAGGCCCCTAACCTTGTCGTAAACAGAGGCTGAATTTCCTTAACCAATTGGAAAATCCCAGCCTCTTTCCTTTTTTCTCTCATGTTGACAACTTTATAAGTGATCTCAAACTGGGTCACTCTATAACGGGCTGGATAACGGTTCTCAGACTGTCGTTATTAATGGTTCACAGTCATGCTGGAAGGGCATAACAAATGGAGTTCCGCAGGGGTCTGTTTCGGGACCGGTTCTGTTTAATACCTTCACCAATGATTTAGATATTGGCATATTCAGTTTGCAGATGATCCCAAGCTGGGAGGGGCTGCAGGTGCTTTGGGGGATGGGGTCAAAGTTCAAAATGATCTGGACAAACTGGAGAAATGGTAGATAAGTTGAAGTTGAATAAGGACAAATGCAAAGTGCTCCACTCAGGAAAGACCAATCAGTTTCACACAGACAGGACAGCCACTATCTAGCAAGGAGGCCTGCAGAAAGGGATCTAGGAATCAGAGTGGACTACAAACTAAATATGAGTCAACAGTGGGACGCTGTAGCAAAAAAAGCCAACATGATTCTGGGCTGCATGAACAGGAGTGCTTGAGCAAGACACGAGAAGTCATTCTTCCGCTCTACTCTGCACTGAATAGGCCTCAGTTCATAGAATCATAGAATCATAGAATAATAGGACTGGAAGGGACCTCGAGAGGTCATCGAGTCCAGCCCCCCGCCCTCAAGGCAGGACCAAGCTCCGTCTACACCATCCCTGACAGATGTCTATCTAACCTGTTCTTAAATATCTCCAGAGAGGGAGATTCCACCACCTCCCTTGGCAATTTATTCCAATATTTGACCACCCTGACAGTTAGGAATGTTTTCCTAATGTCCAATCTAAACCTCCCCTGCTGCACTTTAAGCCCATTACTCCATGTCCTGTCCTCAGAAACCAAGAGGAACAAATTTTCTCCTTCCTCCTTGTGACACCCTTTTAGATATTTGAAAACCACTATCATGTCCCCCCTTAATCTTCTTTTTTCCAAACTAAACAAGCCCAGTTCATGAAGCCTGGCTTCATAGGTCATGCTCTCTAGACCTTTAATCATTCTTGTCGCTCTTCTCTGTACCCTTTCCAATTTCTCCACATCTTTCTTGAAATGTGGCGCCCAGAACTGGACACAGTACTCCAGCTGAGGCCTAACTAGCGCAGAGTAGAGCGGCAGAATGACTTCACGAGTTTTGCTTACAACACACCTGTTAATACAACCTAGAATCATATTTGCTTTTTTTGCAACAGCATCACACTGTTGACTCATATTCAACTTGTGGTCCACTATGACCCCTAGATCCCTTTCCGCCATGCTCCTTCCTAGACAGTCGCTTCCCATCTTGTATGTATGGAACTGATTGTTCCTTCCTAAGTGGAGCACTCTGCATTTCTCCTTATTAAACCTCATCCTGTTTACCTCTGACCATTTCTCTAACTTGCTAAGGTCATTTTGAATTATGTCCCTTCTAAAAGGGTAACATGGAGGGTGGGGGGAAATTGTTCTCCTTGGCCTCTGGGGATAGGACAAGAAGCAGTGGGCTTAAACTTCAGCAAGGGAGGTTTAGGTTGGACATTAGGAAAAACTTCCTGCCAGGGTGGTGAAACACTCGAATAAATTGCCCAGAGAGGTTGTGGAATCTCCATCCCTGGAGATATTTAAGAGCAGATTGATCAGACACCTGTCAGGGGTGGTCTAGACAGTACTTGGTCCTGCCGTGAGGGCAAGGGACTGGACTTGATGACCCTCGAGGTCCCTTTCTAGTCTACAATTCATGATTCTATGCTCCAACTTGTCCCGTGTCCTATCTCTCACGATTTATAAGTGAACCACCCCATTCTACTACTGCTAGATTCTGGTCATCAAAAGTTCAACACCACCCCAAGAATGGGGTCGCACCCCTAGCCATCTTGGGCACCCGCCTGTCCTCCAAAATTCCACCGTTCCATTGCGAATGACTCTGA